CCAGAGGGCTGAGGAAGGGTTGTTGAGGTGGTTCGGACATGTAGAGAGAATGGAGCGAAACAGAATAACTTCAAGAGTGTATCAGTCTGTAGTGGAAGGAAGGCGGGGTAGGGGTCGGCCTAGGAAGGGTTGGAGGGAGGGGGTAAAGGAGGTTTTGTGTGCGAGGGGCTTGGACTTCCAGCAGGCATGCGTGAGCGTGTTTGATAGGAGTAAATGGAGACAAATGGTTTTTAATACTTGACGTGCTGTTGGAGTGTGAGCAAAGTAACATTTATGAAGGGATTCAGGGAAACCGGCAGGCCGGACTTGAGTCCTGGAGATGGGAAGTACAGTGCCTGCACTCTGAAGGAGGGGTGTTAATGTTGCAGTTTAAAAACTGTAGTGTAAAGCACCCTTCTGGCAAGACAGTGATGGAGTGAATGATGGTGAAAGTTTTTCTTTTTCGGGCCACCCTGCCTTGGTGGGAATCGGCCAGTGTGATAATAAAATAAATAAAATTATATATATATATATATATAATATATATATATATATATATATATATATATATATATATATATATATATATTAGCGAGTTGGTAGACAGCAACCATCCAGGGAGGGTCATACAATCCTGCCATATGAATGTGAAATGGAAGCCTGTACAACGTTAAGCACTCTTAAAGTTGTCTCGTGACCATGTTACATCTTATAAGCTTCTACTGACAGTATATACTTACATGCACTGTCTTCTGTCCTTATTAAAAAAAATAGTGCTCTAATATTTGTATTTAACTTTAGAAGTTCTGGTCTGAGACTGGGCCGCGGGGGCGATGATCACTGGAAACATTAACACATAACAGACGTAACATGTCCTACTTTCTCCTACCCTCTCCCTCCAGCCTCCCATCCTCTTCCACCTCCCATTCTTTTCTATTTTCTGTCACCTCCCATGTGTGTGTGTGTGTGTGTGTGTGTGTGTGTGTGGTGTGTGTGTGTGTGTGGTCGTCGTAAAGCAGTTTGTGTAGAGTGGTGTTCTGACTACCCTGTTGGAGTGCCTTATGCGGAACACGAGACACTCCCTTCCCGCTCCGGCCAAAGGTCATCTACTATCGTGGGTGCTGTCAGGTATCAACGTAACTCATAAATCCCACACCGTAATATCGGCTGCCTTTCGCCTCTGACCTGGTACATCCTCTAGCGTTCATATCTCAGTTTCGGCGCCGTCGTTGCGTTAAACCTCTGATTTTTTTACATTTGACTTATTTTATTACGTGTGGACTCCATTCCAGCACAACGTATTGAAATAAATATAGAATGTATGTTTTGTTTAACGCTCTGGACACTTGCTTATTCAAAATACTGAACGACTGCCTTATAACTGAGACACTAGCCGAGGCTGCTGCTATTATTCCACTTGCTTATGCTTCACTAGTTACTCTGTTTTACTCACCTATTTGTTAAAATATGTCTGATTTTATTCCATCTACTTTGCCTTTCCTAGGAGCAGGATTTAAAAAGTTATTTCCCCGATCATTTCTGTAGCCATTCCTGGTTATATTTTTACGTTGTTCACGTCTCTAAATATTATATACGACACAAGCTCTGGCTCTCCGTGAAAGGAATCGAGGTTTACTGTGAAATATGTTTCTCACGATGGACTCTTGTGAGGCCCCGATGAGAACGTTCGCCCAATTTCACATCGTCTCACCACAGTTTTATTTACTGTTTGGGTACAGGAGAATCCCTAATATAATCCTGGCGATTCCAACACAAAGTCTTTACTGAAGGATATTTAGTGAATTGCTTCGATTATTCATGACTTACCTTCGTGGCCATTGATTTTTTGAGCGGCACACGACTCTTAAATTAAAAATATTTAACATTTCATTCAGAATGAGCTCGGTCTTATCAAATTCAATATTACAGTAATATGAAAATATATATAGTCGAAGAATATTTAAATAACTTGCACCCGCGAAATTTTCTTTTTGCAGTCTTGACGGCGCTACAAGAACCGAACTCTGGCAAGTTACGAGGTGGGTCTCGAGTCCTCTGTGCATTTTTACCATCTCTCTTGTTCTGTCGTTAAAGTCTGTATATTATTACGTGGTGTTCTGTCTCGAACTCCTTCGATTTCTTGTAAATCTCCTATGAATTTCCAATAGATTTTTTAGATAAAATATTCGAGGTATGAACTCATGATCTTGCTGTGAGACTAATCTCCATCTCTCTGCCTCGGAGTGTCTACTTGTCTCGTATTGTTTTTCTCTATCTTTAGCTTGGGATGCCCCTAAGGTACATGATAGTAAAAGGCTGTTTAATGAGGCTTGTCTGTCGCCTTTAGATGTTGGCATAACATTATCTCGTTTCTCGCAGTAGATACTTTTCCTGTTGTAATCGATTTTTTAAATATTTGATCTAGTGGTGTGTGTGTGTGTGTGTGTGTGTGTGTGTACTCACCTAGTTGAGGTTGTGTGTGTGTGTGTGTGTGTGTGTACTCACCTAGTTGAGGTTGTGTGTGTGGTGTGTGTGTGTGTGTGTGTGTGTGTGTGTGTGTGTATGTGCATGTGCGTGTGTGTGTGTGTGTGTGTGTGTGTGTGTGTGTGTGTGTGTGTGTGTGTGTGTGTGTGTGTGTGTGTGTGTGTGTGTGTGTGTGTGTGTGGTGTGTGCTCTCAGCTTTCATTTATGCACACTCCTTCACGTGCTATTTTAAATAACATTTTATCCGTTCCTAGATGGGAGCTACGTTCACAAACTCCAAATTAAAGGATCGCTTCTTAAAAATATATTTAAAAGTGCCTTAAATATTCTTTGTTTAAGTTTCTTACAGTCATTCCTAAGTTTCCTTTTGTCTAACATACACTTTCCCTGTGACTGTTTCGTCATCGTCAGGAGAAAAGTAATCATTGTATGTATTCCCGAGTCATTTACATTCCGTCATACATTGAGTTTTTCCCTCTCCTGATGATACACTTCTTCTGGTCTACACCCTCCTATTCCAATATATTTTACAACACATTTCCAAGGGTTGTATTTGATGCCCTCCTCCTGCGTCATTTCTGCAGCCTGCTTAGAACTTTCTATAGTTTCATGAAGACTCACGAAATCGTAATAACGCGAACGTAAACCACGGTACGGGCGGGGTTAGAACCCATTGCAAGTGAATCGTAAAATTCCAGGATTCTAACCCCACCAATAACGTGCTTTGCTACATGAAGTCTCTCTCTTATTTTTTTTGCATCATACACAAACAGTACCTTGGGGAAGTCTATTATTCCCAAGCTTATTTTTGCTCTATGATTCCCGTCAGCCTGTCACAAATCTTTTAAGATTTGCGAAAAATAATTTAAGTCGTAGTTCATGTTGGTGTATTAAAGTTTGTGAAGGTACTCCACTAGTTTCTATCACCTCTCCATAACCTTGCATGTGATGCCTGTCGCCAATACTGGCCTTTCTTGAATATTAAAATTACGTTAGGTATCTTCAAGGTGTCTGCCAGACTTCCTGTCTCTGTTGATAACCAAGGTGATAATTTTGTCAGATCTAATTGCTTTTCTACCTCCTTCGATCCCTGATCTTAGTCTCAGGCAAGATCATTTACTGGCTTGCCTATCATTTATCTTAGTAAATACATCCAGGAAACTTCTCATGCTTGTGTAAATACCTTTCTTACAGTCCGGGTTTTATTCCATCTTTGTGCTTCTCTCTCCCGCCCCGCTTTAACAAGGTCACTAGCTATTAAAGGTTCCTCATAATTGCTTTCCTCTGAGCCCATTTAGAGACAAGAACATATCCTGTATTTCTGGTTCATTTTTCGTATCAAAAACATTACTGTAACATACTCGTTTATTTAGGTTAGACTAGGTATGATTTGTCAGGAAACTGAATAATTAACGAACAAAAAGGCACAATACCGTAACTGGAACAATACACAAATAACACGCACATAGGAGAGAGGAAAGCTTACGACAACGTTTCGGTCCGACTTGGACCATTTACAAAGGCACATGGTCCAAGTCAGACCGAAACGTCGTCGTAAGTCTATGGATTTGTGAACAAGACAAATGTTTCCCGACGCGGGTCTTAATTCCATGATGACCTGCCACTAGAGTTTTTGGTCACCTGACCGAGGCCGTCCGCTGGCTTACCAGTTCGCCCCCTTCAAAAGATGAAGGCTTATTTAGTTTCCCATCGCAGCTGTCATCACTTCTCATCTTCAAGATTTCTGATCCTCCATGTGAATCCCTGTTATACCAGTCAATCTATTTTGTGATTTTACTCTCTTGGTCAGTAACTCTATCATTAAATTTTGTTCCATCCGTTATCATCCGTTGTTCCAGTGTTCTCATCTGCCTCCATCGTACTGTGATTTATTTTTTAAAGTATTGTAAATTGCGGACCTGCAAGTTCGTCTCAAATTCAACCTACCCAACATTCTCCACGTGACTCTCCACACACTATATACTCCTGTGCTCTTTAACCAGGTAGATCTGTTTGTGACTTGATAAAGCCCACTGTGTGTGCGAAACGTTGTTAATAAAGGATCACATTATAGTGCATTTCTGTTTATTTCTCCATCGTGTCTGTATTTTATGCCATTTATCTCCAAATAGCTCCCTAGTGTAATCAACCTTTTGTGTAGCTTCCAAGATCTACGCTGATGAGAATGATCTCTTCAAAACTCAATGTCTCTCTTATCAGTACTGCTATCCTTCTCACTTTTCATTCTCTCCTCTCTCTCTCTCTCTCTCTCTCTCTCTCTCTCTCACCTTAATATTTGGTATTCTTCGGTGAATATCACATCTGATATCATTCCTGTAAGCTTCGTTTCTCTTGTCATTATATAATCTTTTGCTTCTTTCACTCGTTTCATAATACATGTTTGCAATGAAGTCTTTGTGTGTTAGAGAGAGAGAGAGAGAGAGAGAGAGAGAGAGAGAGAAAGCCAGTGACAGCTACAATCTTAACCCACAAACAAATGACAGGCAGTAGACTAACATTTTGTTGTTGCATTGCAGGTTGTGGACGGGAGGTGGTGAGCGTGGTGCCAGATCAACAAGTATGGTTGGTGTCCCCTGGCCACACCGTCCCTGGTGTCACCAATGGCTCTCAGCACACCTGTACCTGGGCGGTCAAGGTGAGTCCCCCCTCGTCCCCCCCAAAAACATGTGTACCAGAGTTCTTCTAAGAATATACAGTAAACTATCTTTTCAGTCATGTATATTTCTTATTGTACTTATATGTTTAACACTCTTGCGACGGTGTTCGATACTATCTTCCCTGCGAAGACGAACGTTTTGGAGCGAGCGTTTATCGAGACGTTTATTCCTGTTTAGTTCTGTATCTAATGATTTGGCAAGCCATTACATAGAGCGAAAAGTCCTCCAAGTGAAAACTTGTGTCTTCAGTACGTCGACTCTGTAATTTGGATCCGACACACTTCCATCTTTGCCTGAGAGGAAGAAATAAGAGAAATATTGACAACCAAGACTGGGTTGCTGTTTCCACCTGGGAATATGAAAGAAAAAGTCCCTATAATATTGATATCTAATAACAAACTTTTGAAAATCGGCTTACGAGAAATCCTTCCACAAATCTTAACTTTCTCCCCCCCCCCCCAAAAAAAAAAGAAAAAGAGAAAAAAACAGAATACACGTATATTTTCAAATTATTATTACGACCAGTGATGCCACAACTTGTCTTCATGGTAATATTATTGCTCTTATTATCATATTATCATTGGACCTAAATGAGTGATATTCATGTCAGAAAGCATAACTTCCATCTGAAGATGGTTAGGTAGTGGAAGGAAATAGATGGGAAAGTTGGAAAAGAAGATTTCGTACACAGTTTTACGAGTAGGTATGTTAAGACCCCTAAACTCAGGAATAGTTTGACAGTTGGTGAGTAGATGAGCCCAGACTAATACAATTGGGCGAGTACATCATCCTTCAGGAATCAGTATCCACCGATCCTCCAGTCATAAGTTTTCTTACCTTTTCATTTGAAGCCTCCAGCATCCTCCTGCTCTTCTTCTTTCTTCCTCCTCCTCTCCCCAAGTTTCCCTTGACGTGGGGTGTCGTGATGGTTGTACCCTCGACCACCGTGGGTCGAGTTTTTATACTCGACACACTGATGGGTCTGTGTTTATAGAGCAAGTCTGGCGTTTTGCATGGAAATCAACCAATTACTATTTACTGTTGTTTATCATGTTTGGGTGACGAGTCGACCACCTTGACGGATAGTTACAACTGTGTAATTTGCTCGAGGAAGGTAAACAAAAAACTCTACTAAATGGTGATAATGATGATGTTGGACGAGAAGCTGTCCAAGCACAGTCAGTGGCTTCTTCAGTCCAGTACAGAGAAGAACGGTGGAAGATGAGGAGTTTGAGGAAATCACTCCCTCAGCTTGGAGTCCATCAGTTCATCAAGACTGATGCTGAGGGACTGATTACCGTAAACTCCTCGTCATCTTCCACTGTTCTTCTCTGTATTGGACTGAAGAAGCCATTGGCTGGCGAAACGCTTCCTCAGTAAAGATTCCCAAACGGTGCACAAGTGTCTCATTCTTCAGCTTGTCTGTTTTATAAACATTTACATCACAAAATGCTCGGAAGAGTGAACTCTCAAGTTCTCTCATTCCTGGCAGCATTAGTAGCAGTATCAGTGAACCTAGAGGCTTCCCTGCCTCTGACAGCAGCATCAGCAAATCTGAAGGCTTCATCTCACTAAAGGGGCAAATGCCTGTGAGACTCTAGCTGTGAAGTTTCGTCTGTGACGTCTGTTTAGATCCTATCCCAACCCGTCCTCCGTCAGTAGCAACAGTCAACCCGGAGACTTCCTCATCAATACCAACATTAATCAGTCTGAGTAGGCAACCTTTTTAATGGCGGAAGCAGTAGCATTAGCGAACCTGGAGGCTTCCTTATTTCTTGCAGCAGTTGCATAAGAAAGAAGGAACACTGCTGCAAGCCTACTAGCCCAGGCTAGGTAAGTCCAAGCCACATCCTCTCATGTAATTGTCTAACCAATTTTTAAAACCACAACATTTTAGCCTCATTGACACTACTTGGGAGTTTCTTCCACTCATCCACAACTCTACTGCTAAACCAATGTTTTCCTATATCCATAATCAATTGGTCTACAATACCGACAAATTGAGGAATCAGGCACATGCGGATCATGGGGGTACCATTATTTCGAAGACGTTTTGCCATCCAGTGGTTTAATTTAATACAGAACTATAAACTTCAGACAGTAGCGAATGAGGTAGTCAGTCCCTCGGCCTCACGGATCAGGAACATAGTCCAAGAAAACATTACTTCAAGTAACCCGCACAATAAGCAGCCGACCTATGTTTTGTAACGGAGTTTTGTACCCTATAAATTTCCGCTACCCGACCCTGATTTAGATCCTATGGACGGAGGTGGGAGACGGTGGGAACTATGTATCTGAAGGACAACTGCATTCTTGTTCCCTTATGAAACAGATGAAGAGAATGGTGGGTACCCTGAATGGTGGGTACCCTGAATGATGCGTGGACCTAACTTCCCGACTCCCGTGACAGGTGCGTAGTATATTAATGAACGATGGTATTGAAGTCGGGCGCTTGAAGACACTCGTCCCGACAAGACTGAATTGATGGTCACTAAACCTGTTGAATCCATAAAAAAAGTGGTAAATGGCAGCAGCAGGTAGACGAATCAATCACACAGTCTTGATAAATGGCTACTGAAACCCTCAAAGAGATGGAATCTATTACCTGGTCAAACTGAACAAGTAGCTAAATATATAAAAACTCGATAACATTTTTCTGACAGCCATTATTTCTCTCATGAATGAATTTAACATTTAAAAGCCAGCCATGGTAGGTAACATTATAGACGAAGAGGTTATTTATAAATATATAATGAAGACATGAATGCAAAACGGCTCTGTGAAGAGCCGTATCTAGTGACTGTAGAGAAAAACATTGTTCCAATAATAGCTTGTTCTTGATCTTGTAGTTTCTCGAGTATATCGAAGATTTTCCACCAGCAACACCAGCACATTTATTGAGCAGAAAATTGTGCATAATGAAGATTATTATTATTACAATCAAGGGGGAAGCGCTAAACCCGGAGGATTATACAGCGCCTGGGGGGGTATGTGGAAGGCATTCAGGCTTAATTTGGGGAACTGGAGCACAGATCCAATTCCCTAAATCAAGAGCCCCTCACCAACATCAAGGAACCTTCCTTGAGGGGATGCATAATGAAGAAAAGGGAACATTTACAAATGTTAATAAAACGAATAGTGACGGAGTGTGGATAATTAATGTGAGATCGATATTAAAGTATATAATACACAGATAACCCACACTTAGAAGATTGGGCTTATGACGACGTTTCGGTCCGATTTGGACTATTAACATGTTACACATGGTATAAGTACGACCGAAATGTCGTCATAATTTTTAGTCTCCCATGTGCGAGTTAACTGTGTATTGTTCCAGTCACGGTATTGTGACTGGTGTTTTATCTCGAAGTGATGGGTGATGGGAGTGATGGTAAATGTTTTGAAAGGAGTGATGGTCTCTAAGGAAAGGGTCGTGGTAGTCGTGGCGGCCAACGAGTATGGTCATGATATTAGTGATAGTATACGAAGGAATATTGGTGGTGATGGTGAGGAGATATTGGAGAGGTGATGGCGAGGGGGGACTGTAGTGGGGTGGTTCGTGAGAGATGGTGATTCAACCTCTCGTCGCGGATGCTGTGCGAGTCATCTCCCGCTCAGACTCCAAGCTACGTCGTTCCTCTTCGAGGAGTTACGACACTGTTGTTCTTCCTGTGTTTATTGATGACTCTCCTCAGGACTCTTGAGTTTAGCACTTTAAATGAATATAAAAAATAATCTGCTTCATCGGCAGTTTTACCATTCCTCTTCCTCTGTCAGATTCGGATGCTGAACCCTTCCTGGTCGTTCATCGTCTTCTTCGACTTATCTTCGAAGTAGGTGGTCCCGAAGAGTGACTCGTAGTTCTCCCTGGCGCTTGTTTACCCCTCCCCCCTCCGTCTCATTTCCTTTATCTCTGCAATGGGTCCCGGTCCATCTCAGCATCCGTTGCAAACTCTCGTGAAACACGCCACTCTGCTTGGACCTCCACCTCTGTGATCTAGGGGCGCTCCACCTTCTTTGGTGGGCAAGCTTGGGGGTCTTCCTCACGACATCGGTGTTGGGCTCGGTCCGGTCCTTATCTGGTTCGTACCCCTGGGATCTTACCCCGATAGGGCAACAGACGTAGTGTTGACCGGTTTGAATATTGGACACTCCCTGTTCACAGCCCATCTCCGTCTTAAGATAGTGGCTAGCGGAGCATAGCTGAACACTTCTTGCTCTACTGCCCCTGGTTTTACTCCATCAAGACTTATTAATATCATTAAACCTCACGTTACTGTAAGAGCGAAGGAACAAGGAAGATATGATCAAGAAATATGAAATACTTAAGTGCACAGAGAGATAACACAGTTCCTGACTGCTCAACATGAGCTGCAGGTAAACAAGCTGAACACCCAGGTGTATGGCAAAGGCAAAATGTATATACGGTTTCAGGAAAAGATATGATAAGACATAATATGCTAGGAATAAAATATACCAGGAGATGAAAGTACCCCAGCAGACAACTCGCTGAGTACACAGATAAGTAAACACAGACACAAACTCATTCTCTCTCTCTCTCTCTCTCTCTCTCACACACACACACAAAGGGTATAGGGAGAGCTACCTCATCCGAAGACACTGCTGCTGCATAAGTTACTGATGCTAAAACTAGTTCCCACGACGTTACGCCCAAATTTCTCAATCATCTCCCGACACAACTTGACCCACCACGACAGCCGCTAATGAAAGAACTCCTCCTTTGCATCTTTTGTATTCCACATCATCATCTTTTCACATTAAGTTACGGCTTCACCTTTGTAATACGACGCTTGCAGAGATTATATTATTCTTTAGTAAACTTTTGTGATAGAGGTGTGGCGAGGATATTAGCAAACAGTGTGTGGTCAGCAGAGGCTACCTGGAGGGTATTCCGGGGATCAACGCCCCCGCGGCCCGGTCCACGGCCAGGCCTCCCGGTGGATCAGGGCCTGATCAA